TCTTATATTGTTTCTGCCATTTTACCGATAGGAAAACTGAAATAGATTAAACAACTGTCCTTAGTTACTACACTGCTAGTCAGATACATGGGCAAAATTCAGTCTGAAGTAGACATGCTCTCAACTATCCATGTAAGGAGGGCCTGGAATAGGCAGCCATGTACCTCCAGGAAACGAGAATGCAGAGTCTCCTCTGTGATGTCAAGCACTTCAGGGTTGTAGATGCTGCCGTTGTCAAACACCTGCTGGATGATCAGCCCAAAGGAGAATGGGGAGATGTTCAGCATGTTCAGCAATGTGGCTTCGCTGGCTCCCACTTTGTCTCCAGTCTTGATCAGTTGCACGTCACTCTGAAAAACAAAGCAGTTGTCAGTTAACACCTGGACATCCAGCAGGTCCACGGCAGCGAAGCCTCCACCCCTCACCTGGCCACCTCTAGTTAAGACAGGTCTACTCACCAGGATTTCAATGGTGCCCCTGGAGATTTTGGTGGTGATGCCCAAAGCCTGGAAGAAGGAGGTCTTCTCGGGCCCGAGACCAGTGTTCTGGGCGGGCACAGTGACCTCACACGGGGCTATGGCACCGGCACGGGCGGCAGCTGGCACCTGAACAAAATAAAGAATCCATGAGAAGTCTTTTCTCCAGAGACAACCTGAGAATGGTCAGCTTTGCTTTTAAGGAGCCAAAATTAATTGTAAGATCTCTCGGTGAACCTGATTCTCCCCTTACCTTATTGGCCAGCAGCATGTCCCTGATCTCAGTGAGGTCCTCCTTGGTGAACACAAAGCCCACGTTCCCCCGGATGTGTGGCAACAGTCTGCAGAGAGAAGTGTACGGGGAGATGGTCACCTTTCAGCACCACTCCTCTCCAGGAAGAGGGACAGGGACACTGAGAAGAGCGGATAAAGATGTCCAGGAGGATGAACTGACTTCTCCAGAGCTGGGTTGTTTTCCAGGTGCCCTCGGATGGCCTTGCGCATCATTGTGTTCTTGCCCATCAGCACCACAGCCTTCCCGCGGAGGGACATGCGGATCTGCTGCATCTGCTTGGAGCCCACGTTGTCTGCTCCCACAATGAAGCATTTTGGGTAATCATCCAGGAGTTGCTTCACAAACAAGCCAGAAACAAACAATGTTTCACAGGAAGAAAGAAGAAAAAGATCAAGACACCAAATTCCACAATTTCCACCTCACTCCCTTTCCTCTGTGCTTTTTGAAATAACTCAGAGATTGGAACAATCCCTGAGGTGTCACAGCGCCAGATTTGTCAAAGAATTGCTTGCTGAGTGTGAATGGTGAAAATTAAGTTTCTCCATTTAATCCCCAAAATTCAGATCTTACTTTCATTTTAACTTTTCCCAATTATGAGGCACGTTTTTGATTCCCTAAAATGACCATGTTAACAGGAAAAAAAAAAAACTACCTCAAGTAAAGCTACATTTACAGCAGGTCAAAATACAACATTAAAATACGAGAAAACGATGCTTGTAGAATCTAGGTTTCAGGTATATTAAGTCTGTGTATCTGAAAACCAAGATAAATGGGAAAGAATATAGTGTACTAAGCTCCACTACACAGCTTAAGACTGAAGAGCAGCATGACTTAATGGTCTGCTATTCTGGGCAGAGAAGACCCACATCAGGGCCATCCAAAAGAAAACATTCACTGAAAGTTTAATTTCTTGACTGATAGAACCTAAATATGCAAACAACTCGTGTCTTTATAATTAATCACTCCTTGCCTCAGACCTTCCCAATGACGGAGGCAGAGGAGTAAAAGCACGATGAGGGTTATTTGGAGGCCGACAGACTTGGCTGTGAATGCTGTCATCTTAGGAACCACTGAACCTACCTGAGCCTGATTATTTGCAACAAAGGGAGGGGGAAGGGCGCAGATCTCAGAAAGTTGTGTAGATTAAATGAGATTTGCCTAAAACGACCTGATTTGGTAGCGATCAGGCACTCAGCACATGGCAAGCTTGTCCCTATTAGTGCCCAGGGCCGAGGCGGTGGTGGGAGGTGGCCGGGACCCACCGCGCACTTACGATGATCTTTAGGAAGTAGTTGGACTTCCAGGTCGCCCTGTCTTCCCTGGGCATCACGGCGGTGCGTCAGGGATTGCCACGCAGGGTTTAAAGACGATGTCACTGAGGAGAGAGAGGGAGCTCAAGACACCCTGACACCCGTCCCCACGGCACGGCGGGCTCCAAACCCAAGGCCCACAGGAGCAGCCCACGTATCGGCGCCCGCCGGCTGGGCCCCAGGCTGCAGCTGCCGCCGGCACCGCCACCGGGTCCCCAGGCGGAGCAGGCCAGGACCCTGAGGTCCCAGAGAGCCCCCTAAAGAACCCCCGGAGATCCCCATCCTTCCCGCCGCCAGTCCCTGGTGAGACCAAACGGGACGAACGAACCTCACACGAGGACGCCTGGCGAGAGAAGGACCGCCGGTCAACGAGAATCTTTTATATGCGAACGAAGCGACCAATCAGAAGCCGCGGAAAGCGCCCTCGCCTACTGGCTGACGGCAACGTCTGTCTGAAGAAGCTGAACTGATACTGACAGCCATTGGATGGTGTAGCTGCCACTCCAACCAACAGGAAACTGCCTTTAAACAAGCTAGTTAAGGAAGGCGCTGCTGTGTGTTGGAGGCGGCTTTTTTAGAGCTGCCTCCCTCTGCTGGGCTGGAGCTGCCCTCGTGTAGGAGCTAGAGTTGGCAAGCTGAGGCCAGGTTTCCTTCTGTCATCTGGCCAAGTCGCAAACTAAAGAGAGTTACGTGGAGCTAAGAAATAATTACACATGCTTTAGAAACAGAATGGTCTTCTTGTCTCCTATACAGTTTTGTTCTTTCCCCTGTGGAAACAAAGGCATCCTTTAAAACCTAAGTCGGATCATTTCCTCATCTGCTCAGAATTCTTGAAAGGCTCCCCATTTCCCTCCAAATAAAAAGCCTAAAACTTAAACTGCCTACAAGGCTCTCCATGATCTGCCCCCCACCTTCACCCCTATAATCTCATCTCTTATTTGCCTGCCCATTCCCTTCCAGCCAGATGATGTTCCCACTTCAGGGCTCTTGTACTAGCTACTCCCTCTTTTCGGAAGGCTTCGTGCTGACATCCACAATTCCATCAAGTCTTGACTCAAATATCACCTGCTTGAAGCCTACCCTGCTTGCCCCATTCAAAATTACCCCCCAAACCACTCCACTTCCCCCCTTACTGTTCTGTCTTTTCCGTAGCACTTACACCTTATTACACACTGTATAATATGTTGCATTATCTCTCTCTGTAGAAATTTTTGCCTTGTGCCTGACACATTGTAGGCATATAATAAATATTTACTGAATGAATAGATGCAGGGTTTGCAGTCAGATAACCTGGATCCATGTTCTTGTTCTGCCACTTGCCATATCTGTCATCTTAGGAAATGATTTCACCCTGCTGACCCTCTGTTTCCCTTTCCTTATCTGTAAAGTGCAGATAATAGCATTCACATTCTCAAGTTGTTATGAGGATTACATGAGAAATGTGTTAAGACAACACAGTTCCTGGGATCACTAGACGTCAGCTTATTTTATATACCTTTTTTCAACACTCAGACAACTGTGCTATATCAGTAAATAAGATTTTAATGAATGAGCTTAGATTCTAGGGCAGAATGGGGGTTTCTCCCTAGCTCCACCCTTTTCGCTTGACCAAGTTAGAAATCTCAGCATTGTGCTTTCAAGCCTTCTAGTGTCTCCAGTGGTGAGCCTGTTTAGAGACCTGCTGGAGTCCATTACTGCTAAGATCTCTTTTTAGTGACAATCTGTTACTGCATGCTCAGCATTGTGCTAAGTACTTTGTGCACATTACCACTGTTAATCTTTACAACAATCCCCTGAGGAGGTACAGTATCGATAAAAAAAAATTCACAGAGGTTAAATAATTCACGTGAGTCTCTCAGCCAGTAAGCGATAGCTTCAGAACTGAAATCTAGGAGCAAGTTCAAAGCCCATGGGCATCACTCTGCTATACAGTCCCTTCCAAACCCTGAGGCTGTCTCCCGCCAAATGCACTTTTCTGAGTATGTACATACTCATGTAGTAACTTCCCAAGGACATCCTGGCTCTGATGATATAAATAGTCTGTAATTGTAGTACATCAATATAATGGAATACCATGAAGCCAGTAGAAAATGCTGCAGGTCTATATTTATTGACATGGGAGAATATTCACAAAGTGCAGCTGAGTTAAAAACAAAAAGACAAATGTACCACATTCATTTATATAAATAAATCTAACATGGCTGGAAAAATTATCTCTGGGTGAGGGGGTGAAGGTAATTTTCACCTCTGAGCTCACTGGGATATGGTCAGGGTTTAGACTTAAAAGTCAACATGCAGCCTTTGGAGGGTCATCCCAATAACAGGGAAACTGAAGCTACAAAGCTGTCCATGAAGATCTTGAGGCCCCAGGACTGGAGTTCTGGCTCTGAGAAGAGTGAGGAAGCATGCAAATATGGACATGAACACCAGGGGGCAGTTGAGACTCATCCTCAACTGTAAGGACAGCCACCTTGAACTGGGAAGGTTCTATGTCCAAGGTGTGGTGCACACGTGGCAGTGGTGGTGTCTGGTCAACCTAGGAACACAGGCAGAGACAAGCCCTGGGTTCACATCCTGTCTCTGCGCTCACTCAGAGGATTTCCTTGTGCGTATCAACTTCCTTTTTGAAATTTGCCCCATCAGTGAGCGTAAGGCCATCCACAGGCCCCTATGAGGATGCACTCAGCACACCCACGGGAAAGTGCAGAGGGCCAGGCCTGACCCACACAGGGAGCCAGGAGGACCTGTGACCACAGACATCCCTGTGGGGCAGGGATCCATTTCCAGGGCTTTTTGCTTCAAGTAAGAGAACTTCAATGATTTACCCTCAAACTGTGGTCCTTGTGAGTCTGGGGAGGGTTTAGTCTCTCTTCTAGAACTAAGCTGTTATCTTAGACCAGAAAGAAAAGGCACTACTAGCACAGGTGAAAATAATGGCAAACTTTATTGGCATAAATCACAGGAATTGAAATGGGGGAAAAGCTAGGTTATAAGTTTAAAGAGGAAAAAAAAAAGAAAAAAAATCAAATCATCAAATAACCACTGACTCAGAGGGTGGACCTCTGAAACCCCACGCCCTCTAGGGGAGGGGTCTGGGGCGGGTCACTGTAAACAGAGCGGTAAGGCCTGTGGGTGGAAGTGGAGACATCAGACCTGCGGGGGGTGGGGGGCTGGCTGACCTTCCCAGACCCTGGCTGCTCCCCAGCCCGCACCAAGGAGGGACCCTCTTCGGGACCACAGCACACTCAGCCTCTGCTGTATCTGGAACCTGAGCCCTGCCTGTTTCATCCTTGGGGGAGAGCACTCTGGGGCTTTCCTGCTGTCTCAGCAGGATCCTGTCTCTCTGCCCAGAGTCCTATCAGGCCCCCTTGCAACAACCTGGGCTCTTTCCCCCAGGCCTCCAGTCTCCAGGGAGGGCAGGAAATTTGGGGACATGATGTACCCAGTGGAATCAACAAGGCTAATGGTCAAAATCAGATACCAGCTTCCTGAGAAGGCAGAAGAAAGAGCTCCAGAGAAGCAGTGAGGAGGCTGAGAATGTTCTCTTTGTTGCCAGAAAGTTCACAAGGGAGTGGACACTCCTAATGGCTTACTTGGGAGACAGTGCCCCGAAAGTATACTTCCCCCTTCTCCTCTCTCAGGAACAAGATGGATGAGGTTCAGAATTTTGGGCCCCAAAGGGCAAGACACCCTTAAGGCCAGTTTCAGTGAAGAGTTTGCTGGCCTGGGCAGTAAGGAAGGGTTTTTTTTCCCGGAATACAGCAGTTTATAAAAACAGTCCTGGTGAGCTGTGAAGTTAAGGAAGGGGAGTCACAGAACTGCTCCCAGTTCACCTGCTCGTGCTAAGAAAAAATAAAATACAAATTGCTTCCCCGCCCCAAGCCCTCAGTACAAGGCAAACCCCATATACCACAGCCACCGTCACCCACAGGACCAGTGGCAGTGCACAGTGGGGAAGAGTACAAAAGGGAACATCTTTAAAATCTTCAAAATCATTTCTGTAGAGAGAAGTAAAAGCAACACAGACGATATGAATTCAAACCTCAGTGTAGAAATCTATCAAAGTCGGTACAGTGTCCAGGCACGGGGTGAAAGGCCCCGCCGCACGCCGTCCCCGGGGACGGAGGGAGTGACTATAAAACATTATTGCTGGAGAGAGGCCTTTCTCAGTAGAACCAGAGCAGGTATGGGGGTGGGGGCAGTCACCCAGGCCTGGAGAGGCTGGAAGGGCAGGAGCACAAGGAACCCTCCGTGGCCCCGGGCCCGCCCAGCCTTGGATGGATGGATGGGTGGATGCTGGCATTGTCTGGAGGGAGCTTAGTCCCCCAGTATTCTCAGAACAAGGAGAATTAGGTTGAGCGGGGAGGATACCGATGAAAAGGGGCCCCCATCTGACCCTGCCTGCCCTCCCCGCTGGCTCCACTGCCGAAACATGAGGAAGGGATGGCTCCAGTGTGGGGTGCTGGCCTGGCCAGGTGGGTTGGTGGGGACACACGCAGGGTGGGGTGGGGCCCTCCAGCCTCTGCCTCTAGGGAGGGTGAAGAGATGGCGGCCTGGGGAGAGCTGCAGGAGGAGGAGGGAGGCCCAGAGGCTCTGGCAGCGGGTGAGAAAAACAGGCGGGACCCCTCAGGGTCCTCGTGCCATCCTGCACCAGCCAAGGATGTGGTTCCAGTTTCGGTCGGATTTGCCCCTCCACCCCCGGGCCTCTGGGTCACAGTAGCAGTTGGGAGGCTGGGCCGGGGAGGGGAGGGCAGAGGAAGGGATGAGGGCGCCTAGCAGAAGAGCTTGAGGAAGCAGTTCTGACAGTAAGGCTTGTCGTTCTGCTCCTTGAAGGTGCCCTTATTGAGCTGCTTGAGGCAGAAGGCACAGACGAAGTGCTCTGGGTGGAACTTCTTGGCCATGGCGGTGATGCAGCGGCCCGTGATGGGCTTCTGGCAGCCGGAGCACAGCGAGCCTCGCCGCTCGTGGTAGTGCACCTCGCAGTAGGGCTGCCCGTCGTGCTCAAAGAAGCTGCCGTTGACGAAAGGCGTGAAGCACTCCTGGAGGCAGAAGAGGGGTGGGGTTGGGGGGCAGGGGGCTCAGGCTGGGGCAGCTCCGGGTCATGGGCAGGAGACAGCCAGGGTCATCCCACTTGAAACGGCTCCCACTCGCTAAGCATTCCCCACGCGCCAAGCGCTGTGCCCAGCGCTTACTGAGTTCTCCCAGGAATGATCCTGACTCGCCACAACGGCCTGGATTCAAACACAGGTAGGACTCCTGAGCACTTCAGCAGATGGCTGTAATGGTGTGCCCAGAAACCCTAAACCTGTGCTAAAAAAAGGGTTCCTCAGTCAAGCTCTGCATCATACGTTCCCATTTGGAGATCTCCATGCACTCTTAGGTATAAAAGGCTCTGAGGAAGGAGGGGAAGGTATAGTTCAGTGGTAGAGTGCAGGCTTAGCATGCACAAGGTCCTGGGTTCAAGCCCCAGTACATCCACTAAAAAAAAAACACGGCTCTGAGAAGTTTTGCAATGAACACTGTTTCCCAAACTCATTGAATCAGAGGATCCTTGCTGGATCTTCAGTAACATCTGTGGGCCACTACCTGCCAGAATGCAGTCTGGTAACCAGTGCCTGTTCAAGCTGAGCTGCTAAATGCTTGCGTTGCCTCACTTCACTCTCAAACTCCCTTCTCCCGAACACGACCCGTCTCGGGGCGGCTGCACAGTACTACCTGCTCTTGGTTTCTTGCAGCCCCAGTATGAGCCCACACAGGACTTGAGGAAGTGGACCCCCTGCCTTCCCACCCCCTTAATAACCCCAAATGGGGCCTCTGAGTTGGATCCAGAAAGCACAGCAAGGTAGGCCCTCCTCTCCCTCCTGCCCGCTGCTGGCCCCCTCCAGAGGAGGGGATGGGGGCCCCTTACCCGGCACACGAAGCACTCAGGATGCCAGAGGGTGTTGAGGGCCGAGATGTAGTTCTCCAGGATGGCCCGGGCGCAGCCGCCACACTTGGGCGCGAACATGTCAAAGTAATCCTTGCGGCAGTAGGCCTTGCCGTCTTTCTCGTGGAACCCTGAGGAGCGAGGGGGAGCGAAGGCCTCCAAGGTGAGGCCACCCTGACTCCAACCTCCACCCCTGTCCCCACCTCCCTGATGCTCCCAGGGATAGTGAGTTCAAAGGTCAGTACCTTCAGGCCCGAAGAAGGCTCCACACTGGGCACAGAAGAAGTGCTCGGGGTGCCACGTCCGGTCAAGGGCTGTCACCACTTTCTGTGAGAGCAAAGGGTGGGATCAGCGCTGAGCTGCTGCCCCGTGGACATCCCACAGCTGAGACCTGCAGGCAAGGTTGGCCTTCCCACCCCCAGTCCCAAAGAGCAAAACACCCCAAGATGGGGACCTCTCCACATTGTGCTCTGAGTATCACTGAGAATTCTGACTGACTGAAGGATGTGACGTGCCAGACACACTCTGTCTCCTTTAATCCTCACATGCGCAATTGAGATCACAGGTTCTACTGTGACTCCCATGTTGTAAGTGAAGAAACTTAGTCTCAGAGAGGCTAGACTCTCCCTTAACATCACACAGCGGGAGAGCAAGGGAGCCGGCACTCCACTCTGTTTATCTGGGCAGGGCTCCTCATCTCTTGGAGTTCTGGCAGAAGGGAATCTGGGATGGGAGGTGGGAGGGAGGTGACGCTGCTTCATGTGCCTTAGGACGGGCCGGGGATCAGGCCTGAGTATGAAGCCCGGTTTCGTAACTGTGTGGGACCCAGCATGTCACACGACCTCTCTGAGCCTCGGACGGCACCCCCTGCACCCGGGAACTCACATCCAGGATGGGCCCATTGCAGTAGTAGCAGCGCGGAGAGAAGAGGTTGTGATAGTCCTTTTCACAGTAGGGCTGGCCATCCCGCTCGAAGAAGTTCCGGGACCCGATCTCCTCCTGGCAGTGGGTGCAGACGAAGTGCTCTGGGTGCCACGTTTTCCCCATGGCAGTCACGACCTGAGGAGGGAGGCAGGATGTGGTTCAGGACCTGGGCCTGCCACGGAGCACCTGCCCCAGAGAAGCAACGGTCCCGTGCCCCTCTGCCGCTCCCTCCCTGCCCAACCCCAACCCTCATCATCACCTGCCCCGCAATGGGTTTCTTGCAGGCCCCGCAGACTCCCTTGGCAACTGTGGCGACTCCCAGTTTGTTCAGGTCAGACTGCAGGCTCCCCAGCATGCTGTCGAGCTGGCTCCCGGGCTTTGGGGGCCCCCCTGGGGGAGAGCTGCTCCCCGTCTTCCCCTGGGCCATGAACTGTGGAGGCAGGGAGAGAGGGCTGGTCAGGACATCCAGGGGGAGGGGGTCTCCCAGCACCAGGGGCTTTTCTCCCTCCCGGAGAGATGGGCTGATCAAAGCAGGGTGTGCAACCTCCTCCAGGGGCCTTGGGAGCCCTCAAGGTGGGAGTGGCATCTGTAAGACATCCTGGTGGTCAGAGGGCAGGGCACCCTGCAGACCTGACAGAGCCCCGGAACACACGGCTAGCAGGACCCTAAGCCCCAGCCTCGGCACTGACCCCTCCCTCGTCCTGCCCTTCCGGGCTGCTCTGCCTGCCGTTTGGAGGCCAGCCAGCCACCCAGCACAGCTCTCCGTCCGCTCTTTGCTCCAGGCTCTGGATCTTAGATGGGGGAGGAAACAAGAATAAGAATTTCTTTTTTTTTTAATTAAGAAAAAAAGAATATGAGAACTTGTCACTAAACCATTTTACAAAAAGGAATTTAGGATGAGATAAGAGGATGGATTTTTTTCCCTCCACTGGCAGGACCAAAATCAGGAGGAAAAGTCTAGAGAAAACCAACCAGGAGAGAGAGGCCCAGGGACAGATGAAGAGGGAGAGAGAGGCATGGGACTTAGGGAGGGGAGATGACTGGGGCCGGAGAGCAAGGAGAACCTGCAGGTACTGCGCCGGGGGCCGGGGGCGGGGAGCACGTTTTGGCTTCCCTTCTGGGAACGGCTTGCTCAGAGCCTAGGGCAGGGCTGAGGGGAAGCCCCACTGGGAAGAAAGAAGTCAACTGACATCTCCAGGGTAGGACCAGGGACATCAAGTTAAGGCCAGGTCTAAGGAAGGGCTGTGGTATTGTGCAGAGCTTGTGGATGGAAGGACAGAGTGTGTGTGTGGTGTGTGTGTGTGCGTGTGTGTGTGTACGTGTGTGTGTGCACACATGTACAGGGTGGGGACACAGCTCAGGCATAAGGACAGGCACAGGGAGGGCCGGTGCCAGGGCCCCGAGGCCTGCCTGCATCGAGGGGAAGAGCGGGTCCTCGTCGGTCTGGCAGCCCACGGACCTCACAGAGTGGGGTGCTGGAGTGGGAGGGGTGGGGTCCTGCGCATCATCCTCCCGAGGCCCTGCCCCAGCACTCCGGACCCCGGGGGAGCCGAGGGGGAGAGCTGAGGGCCCCAGGGTGGAGGAGGCGGGCAGGCTGGGCGGGGGAGAAGAGCTGCTGGCAGAGGCGTCTTTGCGATGCTGGAGCAAAGGGCCGGTAGGAGAAGGAGAAGGCAGAATAGAGAAGGTTCTTCTCAGGGGAATGGGTGAGCCGGGAGGGAAGACAACCTGAGAGGAAGAAAGGAGGGAGAGAGATGAAGACAACAGAGGAAGCACCAGCTCAACCAGCAGGAACATGAGAGGGGACGTCCCCTGGGCTGCCCAGGGCCTTCCCACTCTGGCACCAAGAGTGAGGCCAGCCTCACAAGGTCACAGGATGCAGGACCCCCCACGCGCCAAACCTCCCCTCCAGCCAGGGCCAAGGAAGAACAAGAGGACCTCGCTGGCCCAGCTCTGGGCCGGCTACCTTCTCTACCAGCTGCCCCCCAGCCCGCCTCCCACGCGGCTGCACGGTGATGATGATGCCCTCAGCCAGCCAGTCCTTGGCAGAGGCCCCCGGGTCCCCCACATCTGCCTCCGCCTCTGGCTGGATGCCCAGCCGGCCCTGCAGCTCTGCGATGAGCCGCTCCTGGGACGGGGTCCTGCTCAGGGCGGCGGGGTCCAGCCTGCGGCGAGGGGAGGGCTCCCGGGACATGGGGTGCGCGTGGCCCGTCTCCCGGCTCCTCCTGATCACGGAGCGGATCTGAGGAGGGAGGGAGGCTGTCACAGGCCACTCTGGGCTCAGCCGCTGCTGCTCAGTCCACACT